ACTTACGTTTTCGTTGTGAGAGGTGAGTATGCCAGGTCAATATTTGAACCTGTCTGTTGTGAAAGGTCATTATTTTTTTCGTCAATTTTAACTCATTTTGCTTAATTAGGATCTGTTAGTTGTGTGAGGTCATTATTTGGCTGTGAGTTTTCACTTATTAAGTATGGTCTGTCAGTATTTACAGGCGTCCTTGCAGCAAGCTGCAACTTATTCAATGTAAAAGTAAAACACCCTTTTCCACGCCTTGACGCGTATTAGGAATATAGGGCTAGAACAATATTTTATAGAAAAATTGAGATTATGTGGGTGATGTGATCAGCATCACACAGGCCGCCTTTACTTCTGAGGTCTTTCTCGAGTACCCAATGAAATCTGGGTCCAGCCTACTTATCTTGTACCAAGTTATGTATCAAGAGTTAGATATTAATCTTTTCCTGACTCTTTGAGGTGTATCTGTTAGTTTCATTACCCTTACCCTGTTTTAGTTTAGTTGCATTATTCTAGATCACTCACAATTAGTGTTTTAAGTGCACTCAATCGGAATTGTTACGTTAACCAATCTCATGTCCACTTCTAGCATTAGCCTTATTTTGTGTGTGCCAACCGCACGGAATTTTTCAGACCTGCACGGGTTAAAACAAATGCACACAGATTCTCCTCATCCCCTTGTGGGATACAATTTGTAGTTATTTTGAAGTTCCAACCTGGCTTGTGCTAGAGGTCTTAAATTTGTCCAGCCTATAAAGAAAGCCGGCCCATAAATATAGCCTAATAGCTGAACGGGGTTTCCGCGACCTCTCCACGGGTGATCCTCATCCACATGGTGGCACTTTGTGTCGACGGGTGTTTATAGCTTGTATGATATCCTCGTTAGTTACAACATACATACATACGTACGTACATACATACATACATACGTACGTACGTACGTACGTACATACATACATACATACATACATACATACATACATACATACATACATACATACATACATACATACATACATACATACATACATACATACATACATACATACATACATACATACATACATACATACATACATACATACATACATACAAACATACATACATACATACATACATACATACATACATACATACATACATACATACATACATACATACATACATACATACATACATACATACATACATACATACATACATACATACATACATACATACATACATACATACATACATACATACATACATACATACATACATACATACATACATACATACATACATACATACATACATACATACATACATACATACATACATACATACATACATACATACATACATACATACATACATACATACATACATACATACATACATACATACATACATACATACATACATACATACATACATACATACATACATACATACATACATACATACATACATACATACATACATACATACATACATACATACATACATACATACATACATACATACATACATACATACATACATACATACATACATACATACATACATACATACATACATACATACATACATACATACATACATACATGCATGCATGCATGCATGCATGCATGCATGCATGCATGCATACATACATACATACATACATACATACATACATACATACATACATACATACATACATACATACATACATACATACATACATACATACATACATACATACATACATACATACATACATAACGAAGATTCCCACTTAAAATAAATATAGAATAGGGAATAGTGATAAATGGGTGTCAACGTGTAAAAGCCTATATGTTATGACGTTTTTTCCTTAGTTTGCTATTAAGAGAGAAACAAATCCTAGAGCTAGTCATTCGCTGCTACACTACAAGTCCGTCACGGCCTTTATATTGGCTCAGTTAAAACTTACTAAAATATTGCGAATTCAGGTGAAAGTTATCATAGCAGGGCGCCGTATCCTACAATACCTTATCGGGACCCTACCATAATTTGATTATCTAGATGAATATTGCGTGACTTTCTTAACCTTGATACTTGTCAGTTGGATAATACTAACTACTTACTAATTCTTACTAATTTCTTTTGTTACTATTCAGGGTTAGGGTTATTCATTAGTGACATCACTAACTCCTTGACATCTTCTTTTCTGGGACACTCATTTGATAGGCTAATCTGGGCTAATGATCGTTAAATGTTAAACCATTATTGTGTGCCATACAGTATCATCAATTCAATATACCAAATATTACTTGTATTCATTAAATTATAAAGTATAAAAAGACAAAGTAAATGTGAATGACATGTTTCACGCCGTCAGATGTATTGGGCATATAGGTTTATAAATATATGTTATAGACCAATCGGCACTTGTGACGTGATGTGGCCATCATCACAACAGCCGCCTTTACTTCGCAGGACTATACCTGGTATCCATTGAAGGCCTGTCCGATCTGCATGCGAGTTTGTCCACTACATCACCACGATTTCCTTATTATAATGAAAAAGACGTGCTTCTGTATACAACAGTATTCGAAAATGTTGGTGAAGTTTACTAGTGATGTTACTTATGCTCGTGGAGAAAGAAATTCTATGCAATTCTTTTCTCATTCCTTTAAACTTCATTGATAATATCACAAACGCCGTGACACTTCTACCCGTCACTCAACTGTCAGCATACGCCTCAACCCAATGACAATCAACGTATTTTGCAGGTTTCATATACCAATTTAAATTACGTACAGCTTTAGGGCGAGAACTACAAATAAGAAGATGAAGCAACCAATCATCTTATGTGTTGAGGAAGAACAGTCGAGCTGCTGAAGTAGTAAACAATATCAAATGTAGCATCAGCAGAAGCAGTATCGTGAAGTATTTATGGAGTGATTCAACCCAAGGAATCTTGTTGTTCAACTTACTCATGGTTCTTATTACGTTTTCCTGCCCAAATACACACTGATAGATCTTACATTCATGCTTGCTCACCTGCCACATGGGCTTGTCTTTGTTACAGGGTTGTAAAGTCATCGCAAAGTTTTCAGCGTTGTGTCTTATTCATTATGTGGCTGCTGAATGACTGCTTCGTTGGATTCAGCTAGTCCTGTAGTTTGATAATATCTTCAGATAAACTAACGATGCGAAAATGCAGGCTTGTCGACTGTTGTGTCAGTAGACAGTGTAAAATGTACCCCTTCTTTCTGTCTTCCTTTAAAGGACTTGTTACTCCACGGCTCAGGTCAGAACCGCATAAAGCCATTTTTAGGGCTCAGGACAAAAAGTTGACAGTTCTGAAACTATGAGTCGTACGCTGCACTCTCCCATGACACGAATGCTAAGGGGGGGGGGGGAGGTGATGGGGTTAGGTAAGAGCCAGTTCTAGATGTTGAAGGGTAGTTGCAAGATATGACGTCGTGCAAGTAACAGGAAGAACTCAACAGGAGAGCATGTACAGCATGTGTCCACCGATCATCATTAGAAAGATCTTTCGTCGACGATTGTTTCGGCCCATTACTTCCTATACAATCTCGGAAGGGGGGCTGACCTGAGTCATAAAGCCAGCCTTGATCTTCCATTGCTGCACTTATTGGACACTCGGACAGGGACAAGACGATATGGTGACTTTGCAACAGCTACTGTGAAATCTGGTGTTATATTGTCGCTGCGGTAGCAACATTCGTTAATTCGACTACCTTAGCGACCATAGTGACAGGTTTACGGCTGGTTCATCGGACAGGTGTTAGACTTTGGAATTTAGCAAGGAGACATTGGCAGACATTTATCAGACACCTTGGCTTTAAGGGAGAAGAAGCTTCTCTCAAATAAGGGCTCAGATCAGTCTACCAATGCCCATCCATGATGTTCCGTTGCGTCAAAAGCCAGCAAGAAGATCTTTCACCAGCTTCGCTCAGCTGTTTTAGTGACCGTTTGTGCTCGTTTCCTCACAAGCTTTAGCACACTGGATGTTCAAGTGGAGATCAGACATCTTGCACCTGCCTCGACGACGAAGATTTTAACTGTGTACGCTTCGTCTCTCCTCAGACCGGCCATGAGCTCATCGTACTTTTCGAGCTTGTACAGGTGATTTTCTTCCATCAGTGACTCGTACGGTCTGATCGTGTTATATGAAGACGCGAAATCGCGGGTGATAGGGACAGTGCCCATTCCTCTTCTACTGATTTGGTTTCTAGAGCTAGCCTAGTATAATCTTCAGTAATTGTTTTGTTTGTTTGAAGGTATGCTTCTTGTGAGTTAGCATTCTATAAGTTATTAATTTGTGTATTTTTCCTGAATACTGAGTAATGAAATTATATTTCTTGTAGATATTCTCTTATATCGATGATAAAAATACTTTGACCACAAAACACTTTTCAGTGGCTTTGGAAACACATTACTGGTGGGCTTGGTACCTGATAAGAGAAGAAGGGTCCGACTAGCACGGAGATGAGGACAGAGCATAGGGGACACACTAGACAGGACTTTGTATGAGGCAGAAATGGCTTGTGAACCGACTTTATTTTTTAAGGCGGCTGGGATAAGAGCGATGTTCTAGAAATCTTCTACGTGATGATGATGATGATGATTATGATGATGAGGAAAAGAGCTTAGAAAGTGTAGGAAACAAAAATGAGTCGCTGTGGCATAGCAGCAAGACGCTAGCGTGTTTATCGAAAGGTCGCTGGTTCGCTCCCTGGCAGGGTAGAACATTTTTCAAAAATGACCTTGACCTCGCAGGTCGACCCAGCCTTGAGTGAGTACCGGGTGCAGTCCCGGGAAGTAAAGGCGTCAGACGTGATGATATCACATCACCTATTGTGTGCCGATTGATCTATAAGCATATAGGTCTAGCCCTATGTGCTCTATAGGCCTAAAGGCGTGGGAAAGAGTTTACTTGTTTACCCACTTAGAAAACAAAAGTAAGCCACAATACCTCATGATATGAATATCGCAATCAATATTTATTGTGTTTCACGATACAGTTATATCTGTCACAAAAATTCCTGATAGCTGTCAGCGTTTCGTTTCCCATACGGTGTGTACCAGCCTTGCTGTCGTTTAGTTTTAATGACATGCAGTGACAAATCCCGCTTTCCTACCCTTAAATTGTCATCACTGGTGTCAGATGCCTCAATGATAGCAGAACTGTCCTTGTCTAATTCATAATTTGCGTTCATTTCTATATCGTGTTCGGGCAGCAGTGTACTATAATCTATCATCGGCGTGTTCTGTTCACTGTTGAGGACAGTTTTAAATAAAGGCAGTGCCTTGATAATGTTATCTAAACTCAGACCTGTTTGTTTTAGAGTCTGGATTCTGGAAGGTCCTGGTTGACGGAAGTTGCCTTGGCTTCTTTTCCCATACTGGACGTACCATGCTTGTTGACGTTTTCCTCGCAGTGAATCCGGATGACTGAAATCACTGTCCATATAGAAAGGATTGATGGTCACAGCTGTGTCTTCTGGCAGTTCACTCTTCCTAAAACCTAGTGACTCTGGTTTTCTATCCTTGTCTGTAATTCCGCTGAGTAGTGAACTTCTCTGTCCAACCAGCAGCATGTTACTGTAGGAACTCATCAGCCTACCAAGTCGTGATAATTGATGTTGGGGTAAATCTTCAACAGCAGAAGAGGCAGTCTTGTCCACGCCGTCGTCTCTAAGAAGGTTATATTCGGACAGCGAAGCATCTGTGGATGAAATAACACAATGAGTTTAAAATGTCAGCTAAACATGTAATGTTGATAACTTTTGAGTTAATTAATGCGGTAAAACCGCAGTGCGGAATGTGTGATGCTAGTACAATATGTTGGTCAGTTTCTGTGGCTTCGGCGTTGCCAACGCGCTTTGTAATGCCGAGGTGCAAGGTTCCATCCCAGCTGCGGACGGTTTGTCTTGCGTTGGTTCCGACAGTGGTACCGAGAGCTGACCGTTGAGTCTTTGCAAAAGCAAACTACTGAACTTAAAATCTGCCAGTAACAGCCAACAAATAGCTTGGGTTGGTTGTGCAACGTCCTCTTACGATACGCAACTAACTAACGGTATACGGATAAAATAAATTTGATTAAAATAATGTTGAGGCAGCTAGGAGGACATAAAAAAAAATACTATGTAGCGAGATATTTATTCACAAAGCAAATGAAGTGGCAAACGAGTAAGAGACTTCACGAGGAGCTGAGTTAAGAACTGACATTAGAGTACTAAGGACACTCACATTAACCTCCGTCTCAATCTTCATCAGCAAGTTCAGAGTTCTATTTCAAATGCCTTTTTTCCTGAGTGTTCAGTATCTGCTAGACGCTTGGTTTACTTCTCGGTGAACTCCTCTCTTCAAACTATTTGATGTATATATATATACAATATATATATTGGTATGCGTGTATGCGTTTGAGTTTCTGCATAATCACTCTCTCCAAAAGCACTTTGCACACAAAGGCGATCAGATGCAAGTGAAACACTATTGAAACAAGAAGCACAGCCTTAAATATAAAATCATTGCTTCGACAACTTCATGAGTTTCATCAGGATAATTCACATTGTGACTCTGAAAAGAGCATCTCGAAAATGTCGATAGGTCAAACGACAAAAACTCCTATCCCAGTCAACACGGTCGACGCAAGAACAATTAAATGCATTACAGGTTTTTTTTTTTAAACCAACATTTGAAGAGGAAAGATAGATAATGAAAATAACAGATAGTCATTAAGAAAACTGTGGGAATTGCAAATAATTAGAGATTTACGCATGGGTTGAGAGCTAATGCACCATAGGTAGACAGAAAAATAATAATAAAATAATAATAAGAAGAAGAAGAAGAGGAAGAAGAAGAAGGAAGAAGGAGAAGAAGAAGGAAGGAAGAAGAAGAAAGAAGAAGAAGAAGAAGAAGAAGAAGAAGAAAGAAGAAGAAGAAGAAAGAGAAGAAGAAGAAAGAAGAAGAAGAAGAAGAAAGAAGAAGAAGAAGAAGAGAAGAAGAAGAAGAAGAAGAGAAGAAGAAGAAGAAGAAAGAAGAAAAAGAAGAAAAAGAAGAAGAAGAAGAAGAAGTAAGAAGAAGAAAGAAGAAAGAAGGAAGAAGAAAAAGAAAGAAGAAGAAGAAGAAGAAGAAAGAAGAAGAAGAAGAAAAAGAAAGAAGAAGAAGAAGAAAAGAAGAAGAAGAAGAAGAAGAAGAAGAAGAAGAAGAAGAAGAAGAAGAAGAAGAAGAAGAAGAAGCAAGAAGAAAAGAAGAAGAAGAAGAAGAAGAAGTAAGAGAAGAAGAAGAAGAAGAAGAAGAAGAAGAAGAAGAAGAAGAAGAAGAAGAAGAAGAAGAAGAAGAGAAGAAGAAGAAGAAGAAGAAAAAAAAGAAGAAGAAGAAGAAGGAAGAAGAAGAAGAAGAAGAAGAAGAAAGAAGAAGAAGAAGAAGAAAAAAAGAAAGAAGAAGAAGAGAAGAAGAAGAAGAAGAAGAAGAAGAGAAAAAAAAGAAGAAGACAGAGAAGAAGAAAGAAGAAGAAGAAGAAGGAAGAAGAAGAAGAAGAAGAAGAAGAAAGAAGGAGAAGAAGAAGAAGAAGAAGAAGAAGAAGAAGAAGCAAGAAGAAGAAGAAGAAGACGAAGAAGAAGAAAGAAGAAGAAAGAAGAAGAAGAAGAAGAAGAAGAAGAAGAAGAAGAAGAAGAAAGAAGAAGAAGAAGAAGAAGAAGAAGAAAAAGAAGAAGAAGAAGAAGAAGGAAAAGAAGAAAGAAGAAGAAGAAAAAGAAGAAGAAGAAGAAAAAGAAGAAGAAGAAGAAGAAGAAGAAGAAGAAGAAGAAGAAAGAAGGAATAAGAAGAAGAAGAAGAAGAAGAAGAAGAAGAAGAAGATTGAAGAAGAAGATTCAGAAGAAGATTAAGAAGAAGAAGAAGAAGAAGAAGAAGAAGAAGAAGAAGAAGAAGAAAGAAGAAGAAGAAGAAGAAGAAGAAGAAGAAGAAGACGAAGAAGAAGAAGAAGAAGAAGAAGAAGAAGAAGAAGAAGAGAATCGAAGAAAAGAAGAAGAAGAAGAAAGAAGAAGAAGAAGAAGAAGAGAAGAAGAAAGAAGAAGAAGAAGAAGAAGAAGAAGAAGAAGAAAAAAGAAGAAGAAAGAAGAAGAAGAAGAAGAAGAAGAAGAAGAAGAAGAAGAAGAAAAAGAAAGAAGAAGAAGAAGAAGAAGAAGAAGAAGAAGAAGAAGAAGAAAGAAGAAGAAGAAGAAGAAGAAGAAGAAGAAGAAGAAGAAGAAGAAGAAGAAGAAGAAGAAGAAGAAGAAGAAGAAGAAGAAGAAGAAGAAGAAGAAGAAGAAGAAGAAGAAGAAGAAGAAGGAGAAGAAGAAGAAGAAGAAGGAGTAGTTGAGAGGTAGGGGAAGAAAAATGAAAAGATGACGATCTGAAATAGAAGTAAGGAGAGCTATACCATCGTGGCAAAATAGTTCTTTAGCATTTTTCGGTAAACGTTTACGTTCTGAACACATTAGTGCTATCGTTGCAAATCAGTTAGTAAAGAGGGGACCATTAGGGATGGGGATGTATAGGTTATATAGTAACATTCGACATCATAAAGCTATACAATGGTGGTACTAGAGCTGTTATTGGTTATAATGTTGCAATTCCCAATATGACCTCATCCAACACTCAATTTACATGATGGTGCGATTTATTCTGCAAACTTTATCGACTTATGACTTCAAATTTGTGATATTTAAACTATACATTCCCAATTCACAATGTCAACATTTTAATCGTTTTGCGCCTGAATTATTATAGTTTGTTGCGTATCCTTTACGTCCATTAGTTTGCCATTGCTGTCTGAACGGCCGGCTTCTCGATACCACTGTCGAAAACATCGCAAGGCGCAAGGCCCGCAGCTGGGATCGAACCTACATTATTACTTATATTAATTCATCACAGTGTGGAATTTCTTACGTCCTTCTTAGGACGTTATTTTTTGTTATTTGAAGCCCCACTCTGGCTTTTGCCAGGGGCCGCAATATAGGCAGGTCATCATTATGGCCAAATGTCTGAACGCGGTTTCTGGGACCTCTCCACGGCGATCCTCATCCGCATGGTGGCACTTTGTGTCATCGGGTGTTTTTATCGCTTGTGTGATGTCCTGGTGGGGTAAAAAGCCAATCCAATCACAGTGTGGGTTCTGGCACATTAAATATACATATATTTATATTTACATAGTATATATATTTGAATACCTGGCTGCTACTCAACAAGCGTTTATATAAAGTGACTAAATAAGAATATACTAAATACTGAAGAATATACTAAATAGAAAGTGTTGGACCAAAAGACCAGATATAACATCTAACCTAACACCAGCAAACCAAATTGTCCGGCTTTATTTTGATGGGGCACTCTAAAGAAGAAAATAATCTTAATTAAGTTTATAAAAGAATTACATACGGCACCAGTCTTGTATTTCCCTCAAGAGGACGATAGTTAGGTTTGTAAAGATAACAACTCAAAGAAATAATAAAGAAATCCAACAAAGATGCAAAAGAGCAAACCACGTTGCAGGTCAAAAGACACACATTTTTAAATGCAAGAACATGAACATAAACACTAAAAGAACACTGCAAAACACACTATTCTTATCAATGCAATGCCCTCAATGTCAAATATGGGTACTGTCTTCAAAACAAATATAGTCACGACCGAAATGCAATGTGTATGTACTACGCTAGGTGTTACGAGATAAGATCGACTAAGGAACGATGGTATTAAGAGAAGAGTCGGCACAGAACCAATACTGAACTCTAAAGGTAGACAACAAATATAATGTTTTTGCCATGTATCAAGATTGGCATCAGTTAGGGCACCCAGATAGCAGTGTTATACAGATACAGCGGTAACAGAACCAGAGGTTCACGACGCAGAACGTAGACCGCAGTAATATCAGAGCCACTGAAAAGTACTATACGTGAAGCTAACAAAAGGACCCGTTCCAGAGCCTCTTCTAGCCCTGACGCTGCGAGGCATTCCAGGACTAGAGATTTAAAGAAGATGAACAATTTAGTGTAGGTACTATGCTATCTCAAGAAATAAAAATTAGTAAAACACAGTTAGCATTCGATCTGGGAGCCACTTTCTAGGCCTCTGCGGGCCAGACGTGGCCTGTGGGCCACCAGTTGAAAAGCACTGCAATGCCAAAGCTAAACAGTAGCGCATATGCTTTGCGCGTATCAGGTTTTTCCTCAGGATGTGGCCATGTCTTTGCAACGTCTCTCCAGTTTCTAAAGCTCTAACTCTCTGAACCCAGCAACCAATTGTGTTGCCAGCTAGTGCAAACATTCAATACATAGTACACAAACGATTATGAATGTTTACTATAATGTCTTTTTTTCCCCCTCAAACGTAATGTCACAACAATTCGCTATTTGTAACGCACATGTCCTTGCCCTAAATGTTAACGGATTATTGCAGCTGCTCTTTTTGTTGGAATGAGTTGCCTTTTCGAATATAGAATATTGACATTTCAAATCTGAAGCGTGCACATTTTCATGTTTTAGTCTTTGTTACTGGCTGAATACAAAATTCAGTGTACTACCTTTGGAATGTTCCTCGTATATATAAAAAAAAAAAAAACAACCTTTGTTCCCAACCTTTATGTAAATATAACATGTGGCGCTAACCTAATTTTTTTTTTTTTTTTTTTGGGTATTCAACTAGTAAACAAAGTTGCAAAATTGTGAAACCAGTTTGTCTCGT